GCACATTACATTATCTTCGTGAAAAATTGTACCTGCAATTTACACTTTAAAGGGAGCGCTATTGGCAATCTAAATAATAGTTTTGTTTGACTACGGCAGCTGGTTTAGTCCAAAAACGCACAGTTCTTTGGCAGTTGGGTCTGTTCGAGGTCGGATCACGTTCTCATCACAAACGAACCGCTCCAGAGTTCGTTCGAAAGGTGCTTTCACACCTGCCCAAACGAACCGCACCAAGGGGGAAAACGAACTCTAGTGCGATTCAACCGAACTAAATGAGGCAGGTGTGAAAGCACCCTTAAACGCCTCATTTTAATACTTATAATATGCTGAAATTCGAGTGTATTCTAAGTCTTTAATGTATTAATTTAATCCTGTTTCAGTTCACAAATAAAGGTCAATCCAGTTCTGTCTCTGTATAAAGTATTATAGAGATGTAATATGTGAAATGTTTATGATTAATGCTGGCAGGAGTTGGCTACTAACACGGCTGGTCTTCAGATAAACATCAAACTTTACAATAAATTTGGTCCCACTTTATATTAGGTGTCTTTAACTACTATTTATTTACTAATATTTAAATTAATCGGTTGATACAATGCACTTGTGTACATGCATGTTTTTACATTTACATGCGTACATGTATTGTAAGTTCAGCTGTAATTAATTTCTGTCATTACATCTATAATTCCAATATTGACCCTTCACTTACATGTTAACCCATCCTTAAACCTAACCATACCACTAAACCTGTCCCTAACCTTACCCGTATCCCACCTCGAAACCTCTCATCATATATCACTGATGAAGGCATTATGCTGCTGTTCTCCATTAAACCCCTCATTTAAACAGATGTATACTGAAACATCACATTTTCATTAGTGCCCTCTATTTGTAAATGTTATTATTACCGGTTTTGGCATGAAGATGCAAACAGGTGCAAAGTCAGTTTTTTGCCAGCGATTATAACAAATTGTACGGCTGTGCACACTAGCTGCACAGAAATACACTGCGCTGTCCTCAGCTGATATGCTGGAGATGAGCAGGAATGCATCTTTTGTAGCATGTCCTGATATTGTAAATCTGGATTTGAATTTGTCCTCTGGAGAAGCTGATCCATAATTGAGCATTCCAATAAGTTCTAAAGAAGCACTATTGATTTTCTGCTGATACCAGTACAAGTATGGATAGCTGGTGTCACCATGATGACAAGAAAGATTTGCCTCTTTCTCCTCCACCGTCCGTAGAAGATGTTCTGGAGACTGCTGAATGACAGGAGAACACACCACACACACTACAATAGGGTGAGGAGCATACAGTGCGTATAAAATAAAGAACTTAGACTGCATTGCACTGGAAATGCTTACCTGTTAACCATAATGTAGTAATAATGCTTAAAATGGTTGCTCTGTTCATGCTGATAACATTCAACCAAGCAACAAAGTAAAAAAAAAAAAATTTACAATGCAGTTTGCCTCTCTGAAATGTTTCCTGTGCCGTCATAAATGTAGCAACTATCAGATATCTTGAGGCTGAGACTGTTGTTCACCTCAGAAAGCAACCACTAAAATGCTAGATGTCGGTGTTTGCTTATTGGTCCAAGTCAAAAGAGCCCACCCACAGGTGTCTGGGATATTTTAGTCATTATATAGCTGTGGCTCTTCCTCCAATGCAAGTAAGTGGGATTTTTCTCATCTTGCTTCATCTCCTGTATATGCAATAATTCTGAGTTTCATAATTTAAGGAAAGTAATAGCACACATCTATGCAAAAAGCTCCACAATTTGAGGTATTGTCATGTCTGTAGTACAAACAGCACAGGATGAGTTAGGGTGCTTTCACATCTGTAGTTCGGTTCATTTGGTCCGGACCAAGGGCGAAAAATTATACTTTGTAGCATTTTTCAGGGGTTTTGGTTCGTTTTCACACCACACTGATTGCTCTGGTCCGAATCAGTTGATGGAACGAACCAAAATATAGTCATGTGACAACATCCACATCACTCGTTGGCCAGATGTGTCTTGAACATATTTCCATAACTGCACTTCGATTGGTCAGAATTAACGTGTGGGAAAATTCCAACAGAACTCCTGGAAGTAAACAAAGAGGAGCAAAATCCGGCTGACATGCGGAGAATTCGCTCACAATGTCTGTTCAGAATCAGCACAAGCTTTATCCTTTCGCAAATCCCCTCATAAACAACAAAGTCTAGACGCGATATAAATAAGAGATTCACTGTGCAGTGCGGACAACTTCAGTGTTTATGATGAGAGTTTTAGTGAGTGCAGAACGCGGTAAGTCAGTCATGGCTTAAAGGGAGCGCTATTGGCAATCTAAATAATAGTTTTGTTTGACTATGGAAGCTGGTTTAGTCCAAAAACGCACAGTTCTTTGGCAGTTGGGTCTGTTCGAGGTCGGATCACGTTCTCACTACAAAACGAACCGCTCCAGACTTCGTTTGAAAGCGTACGGTACGCTTGTTTGGTCCGCTTTTGGTTCGCAGCCGAGTGCGATCGCTGCTTTCACACCTGCCCAAACGAACCGCACCAAGGGGGAAAACGAACTCTAGTGCGATTCGACCAAACTAAATGAGGCAGGTGTGAAAGCACTCTTAAACGCCTCATTTTAATACTTATAATATGCTGAAATTCGAGGGTATTCTAAGTCTTTAATGTATTAATTTAATCCTGTTTCAGTTCACAAATAAAGGTCAATCCAGTTCTGTCTCTGTATAAAGTATTATAGAGATGTAATATGTGAAATGTTTATGATTAAAGGCACATTATGCAGAAATTGTGTTTTAGTCAAACAGTGACCCCTATAGTCGCTGTGGAACACTTACACTGTCGTAAATAGCTATCTAGACATATGTGGACATTTTTGGACTGGTCTAATTATCAACAATGGATGAATGAACAGCATCGTAAAAAAAAATGGCATACTACAAGCAAGCGCAACAACATAGAACGCAATCAAGTTTAGAAATAAGAGATTTAGGCTACTTAATCCATCAACAAGATCGCCAGGTCAGCATCGCGGTTGAATCCAGTGCTGCTTTTTAGCTCGCGCCAACTAGTGAAAGCCCGACCGAGTGGGACTGTCACAAGGAAATAGTCAAAGGATTCAGTTGCGAGTAAACAGTAATTTATTGAGCACAATAGTAGATATCCGTGTGGGTCAAAATGGAAGCAGACAGAAGAAGACTCAGGCTCGGCAACGCAGGGACGCAGTGGGCAGACACAGATGCAGGAACAGGTAGAAATTCCTCCGGGAAAATCTCAGGAAACCACAGCATGGTACAGGAGTGGAATGCAGGAGAACACGGCGAGTAGAACCCTGGTAGCCTCAACAACCAACTGACAAAGACAGGACGAGGTAACAAAGAATATATCGGACATCCTCATTCAAAACAGCTGGCGCTGATCAGCTCATCAGCCGCGCCCGCCCTCGCGCTCACTCACACAACACGCACACACATAGCGAGGGCGAATCAGGGACTCTTTTCCGGTTCCTCACGCGGTCAGATTCTCTTTTCCTTTTCCAAGTCTCTTCCGACCGCGTTTTCTTTGCTTTTTCCATCGTCAAGTATCACGTCTGAAATGCGCGCAAGTGTCTTCGTGCTTCATATGTGGTTGTTGATGTGTGTGACGTCGTTGCCGTAAAGCAAGTCGTGATTCTCGCGAGATTTGTCGGGGGCGCTCCTCTCAAACTTGCATTGCTGGTTTTTCCAGCGGCGACCCCGCCAAGCTTTATTACCAGGATGATTCGCCCTACTATGAGTTTGTTTACCACCGAAATGACTTTGAAGCTGTTATATCAAGGTACAATTCTTGCATAGTGTGCCTTTAATGCTGGCAGGAGTTGGCTACTAACACGGCTGGTCTTCAGATAAACATCAAACTTTACAATAAATTTGGTCCCACTTTATATTAGGTGTCTTTAACGACTATTTATTTACTAATATTTAAATTAATCGGTTGATACAATGCACTTGTGTACATGCATTTTTTACATTTACATGCGTACATGTATTGTAAGTTCAGCTGTAATTAATTTCTGTCATTACATCTATAATTCCAATATTGACCCTTCACTTACATGTTAACCCATCCTTAAACCTAACCATACCACTAAACCTGTCCCTAACCTTACCCGTATCCCACCTCGAAACCTCTCATCATATATCGTGAGCAATGCACACGACTGATGAAGGCATTAGGCTGCTCTTCTCCATTAAACCCCTCATTTAAACAGATGTATACTGAAACATCACATTTTCATTAGTGCCCTCTATTTGTAAATGTTATTATTACCGGTTTTGGCATGAAGATGCAAACAGGTGCAAAGTCAGTTTTTTGCCAGCGATTATAACAAATTTTACGGCTGTGCACACTAGCTGCACAGAAATACACTGCGCTGTCCTCAGCTGATATGCTGGAGATGAGCAGGAATGCATCTTTTGTAGCATGTCCTGATATTGTAAATCTGGATTTGAATTTATCCTCTGCAGAAGCTGATCCAAAATTAAGCATTCCAATAAGTTCTAAAGAAGCACTATTGATTTTCTGCTGATACCAGTACAAGTATGGATAGCTGTTGTCACCGTGATGACAAGAAAGATTTGCCTCTTTCTCCTCCACCGTCTGTAGAAGATGTTTGGGAGACTGCTGAATAACAAGAGAACACACCACACACACTACAATAGGGTGAGGAGAGCATACAGTGCATGTACATTAAATAACATAGACTGCATTGCAGTGGGAATCCTTACCTGTTGACCAGAAAAGAGTGATTATGGTAAAAATGATTGCTTTGATCATGCTGATAACATTCAACCAAGCAACAGAACAATCCAATCACAGTGCCTCTCTAAATATACGTTTCGTCCGCAGTTATAAGAGTACAGCTATCTCGTATCTTGAGGCCGAGACTGTTGTTCACCTCATTTGACTGCGCTGTCAGTCCAGGTGCGCATGTGTCATGTGACGGGGGAGGAGTTTTTTTTTAAGCGCAGTCTCCTATACACTTGAAGCACTGTGCATCACTCACTGCACAGAAATACACAGCGCTGTGCTCAGCTTTCACAGACGACACCAGCAGATTCGCCGCTTTCTCTGCATCTCCGGTTATCGTGAAACCCTCTCTGTCAGCCATGGATTGTTTGAAGGAAAGGAGGCCAAGGTGCTCGAGACTTTGCCCGTTTGGCTGCTGGTACCAGAAGATTTTGTCATAGCTTTTGTCATTGTGTCTGCAGGTGATGTTCATTGTGGCTCCAATGACTAAGAAAAGGTCAATAGGTGTCTGTGTGACTTTTAAAGCCATGGACAGCCCTGTAAGGCCAGTAGAGAGAGAGTTAGACAGGTTAAACTGCAGTGACGCTATAGAGAAGTATTCACAAGTAATGTCACACGCCTCACCAATACAACACTGAAGAAGGAAACATTTGACTGGAAATTCACTCATGTTGAATTCTGGTTTAAATGTGAACTCATGAGTGAGCTAGCCTGGTTTGATGGATACGTGGGTGGAGTCTGTTTATGCGGTTCACATCTGTGTGTTTTTACATCTGCCGCCCCCCGGTGGACACATGGACCTTGAGACCCAGAGCATGTGACTATACAGAAATGGTCTGTCAAAAAATGTACGTTGAGAATTATTCACTTGAGTGTAACAACTACTGTATGTCCGGCCCTGTAACCTTTTACATGTGACATTATAAAAATAAATGTTGGTCACAACACCTATAGGGTACGACGGGGCTAAAGGCATACCCTAAGAAAAAGGTGCTTTTCACTAGTGTATGATTGCAGAGAAAAATAGGTTTTTATTGAACATTAATTATTTGGATAAATAAAATAATTAATTTCTGTTGAGTAAATATACTATAATTAAAATATGATATATTTTATTATATGATATTATTATTATTATTTAAATATGATGGTTTAAAATATGGTGATTATCTCTAAGGTGGACACCCAACTTAATATATATTTACCATCTGGATCTAAATATGTCATGTCAACATAGGGAAAAGTCAGCCGGCTGTTCATTATCATTATTGTGCCTTTCACCTCAAGAGCAGGGCGACCTTTTACCGCAAATACATATTTTTACACTTTCTTCCGTTATTGAAGAACTGTTTCTTTAATAACCTTGAACAAAACTGAAAAACATTAAGACCTTTGTCTCAAAACATTGTATCGATTCTCATTTGCTACATAAATCCACAATATTTTTTAAAACACTGAATATTTAATCAAATTAGCACAGAATTAACTTATCAGGATCAGGCAAATTTCCACGTGCATTATCAAAAGCGGTTGTTAAAGGGGTGGTTCGGAATTTTGACATCGGGCCTCATTTACAAGTGAGCCTTAGTGTTATTTATCAGTAGAGACATTTTTTTTTTAAAAATCATCCAGTCGTCCCAGTTGCGTAGTTGGCCGGTGCTAGGCTAGCGCGAATCAATGGTACCAGTTTTAGCCTGCCATTAAAACAGTTTTACCCACTCCACAGTACTCTAAAAGCACATCAGTTATAACGCCAGACTATCGGTGTAATTGTCTGTTGAGAGAATAATGTTAGAAATCAAACTACCCTTTCATCGCATTGCAATAGTTATACTTTGTTCCCTGTATTTATCAGCATAGTCTGCAGCAGCGGCGGAGTGATATGTTACCTAGGCAACCGAGAGAGCCGGTCCACATGACAATCACGCAAGTGTATTTACCTGCCGCTGACACTCGTCATCACTACAGAAACAGAGTTTATTTCAAGAATAAAGCAATATGACATATAATTATGGCCACGTTTGAAAGCCATGACAATGTTTCGGACTTTGAAGACGATGGAAGATGAGGAATGTGTGTTTTATTCAACGAACCATAAATGTATGAGCCGGATATATATATTTAAATATAATGTATTGCTACACATTACATAAAGAGACAAATAAACAACTTAAGTGGATTGTAAAGACAATAGCCCTACTATGTTTGACAGACTGTTGGACCAATTCATAAATTAACTAACGTTATACCGTTAGTTACACTATAGTGTCACTCTCCACAATGCATTGAACTGTAACGTTATCTCCACAAACGTTGTCAGTGTCGATCTATCAGTTATGAAAGACTAGCTTCATTAGCTAGAGGTTAGAGTAGCCTAACAAAAGTTATTAGCTGTTCATCTGTAGCTGTTGGTGCATCGGGAAAGACTCAAACTCAGTGACTTTTAATCGTTTCGATCACTTTGTACAAAGTCGTCTGATCTAAAATGATCGCTACAAATTCAGGCCTTTAGTAGTGTCTCTGTCGGTGTCTCCTTATCCAAGCCAGCAGCAAGAAGCCACAGTTGGTTCCTTTCTGGATCTCTTACTGGAAATCTGTGGAAACTTTTTGTTGACCCATCTTTTTTTTATTATTTGTACAATTTTTACAAATACAGTGAATAACCATTTTGCCAATTCTTTCAATTCTGATCGAATGTTTCAAAATCGAGGCTACTAGCTAATTTGGCGTTCCGACTGTACCGTATTGCGATTCTGTTGTGTTTACTTTCTGGCACAGTACTACTCCCGGAGCAAAGTAAAATTCCGCCGCTGCTGAGAAACTAGTTCCTGTAAATGTAATGCGATCATTGAAATATATTTTGATATGTCAAACTATATTGAGTAGTTTGATTTCTAACATTATTCTATCAACAGACATTTACACCGATAGTCTGGCGTTATAACTGATGTGCTTTTAGTGTACTGTGGAGTGGGTTTTAATGCCAGGCTAAAACTGGTACCATTGATTCGCGCTAGCCTAGCAGCGGCCAACTACGCAACTGGGACGACTGGATGATTTAAAAAAAAAAAAAAAAAGTCTCTACTGATAAATAACACTAAGGCTCACTTGTAAAGGAGGCCCGATGTCCAAAATTCCGAACCACCCCTTTAAGAAAAGTGCTAAGCTGAATTTTTGTGCCATCTAGTGGTTTAAAAGATAATAAAGTCCAATGCGCCTTTTACCCCTGTGCGCTTTTAGCCCCATTGTTGTACCCTACCTCTTAACATAAAGAACGAGTGACACTGTGATGTAACGTATAAGAGATTCATGATAAGGTTTTTGTGCAGAAGTGCAGGAAACCCACAGCACCGTGTTCTCTTGCAGCACAGTAATAGATTGCACTGTCATCTGAGGAAAGGCTTTTCAGTGTCAAATTGCTGTTACTTGCACCACTCCCCGATAGCTTGATTTTCTCCTTGAAAACTAGTTCTGTGTTGTCATTTGTTCTGTATAGATACCCCATGAGCTGCATTTCTCCATTAAGAGGCTGCTTGTACCAGAGGATGACGTTGAAGCTTGAACTGCTGTGAGAACAGTGAAGACTCACTGATTCTGTGTTGCTTTTGGAGAGTATGTCAGAAGGGGTCTGTGTGATAATAGAGTTCACTGAGAAGCCTGTTAAGAGAAAGAAGCATTTACAGTTCATTAATGAACAATACATCTGATGTAACGGTAGCTCTACTGTAACTCCTGATCCAGAATAAATACTGTTTAAATATATTGCATTACCTGTAAAATAGAGCAACAATATAGCAGTGTTAATCAGATGTCTAATCATGTTGAACCTAAAGACAAATGATGAGATAGCACAAACCAACCCATTCTTAAACCTTTTTTTCATGTCAGAAAGGAAGCTATCATAACTTTATCATTGAGAAAACAGTTTCTGCCCTCTAGTGTGCATAATATGCTATCAAAAAACGGTTTTGATAGCACACTTTATTTTAAGGTGTATTCCTTGTTACAGTGTAACTGTACATTTAAGAACTGAGTAATATTAAGTAACACACACTTACTATAGGGTTTGGTTTAGGTTTAGATGCATGTAATCATGCATAATTTACTGTTATAACAACAGTTAGTACATGTAAGTAACAAGGACACTGTCAAATAAAGTCTATTTTCAGTAGCACTTTATTTTACAGTCCTGTTTCGCATGAACGTACTTAGTTATGAAACTTAGTAGGTACTAACCCTGAACCTTCCCCTAAACCTAAACTTAACCCATGTAGTTACCTTATATTACTGATTACTTTTGTGGGTAAGTACACTGTAAGTACACGTAAGTGCACATACTGTAAAATAAAGTGCAACCCTGTTTTCTAACAGTAAAATAACCCAATTGAAAAGGAAAGTTTGACACTTTATGCTGGTTTGACAGATTTTGCCTTGACAGTTGCTATTGGAAAAGATTGTATAAGGGCCAGATTTACTAAACGGTAAATTAGCGTGACAGCGAAATCTTATATAAGCGCAGTTGGGAGTAGAAAGTTCTGTGTGTGACGTGGAAATTAAAGAACGCAGACACAGGCGGATCATTTCCATGATGACCAACACAATCTACCAAGAGCAGCGCAAATTAGAGTCTGGTTTAAGACTTCCTTTTTTATTGGTGGTAAATAATGGCAAAAATACCAGTAAATTGACTAGTGCAAACCTTAGTAAATCACTTTGATTCATTTAAATACTGTGAAAGTGAAAATCCTACGAATAAATATCAGCCACAAAACTAATTGTCCACGCCTTTTTCAGCACGAATTTTTCACTGTGTGTCTTTAGTAAATCCCGACAGTCGTTTTAAATGCCAAAAGAGGGTTTGTGTTGACTCAAGCTGTTAGTAAATCTGACCCTCAAAGAGATATTTAAAGTTTGAAGACTATAATCATTGCTGTGTGTGTGGTTGTTATTGTGTTGTGAGTGGTTACACAACACAATAACATTCCTGAGCTGTTGCTAAGGAATTCTGACTGGTTGCTAGGTTATTGCTTATTGTGTTGTTGTGGATGTGCTAATGTGTTCTGGGTGGTTACTAGGTCATTTAATAGTCCATATTATAATTATATAGACAGACATCTTTAATAGACTTTAATCATATCTGTGCACCAAACAAAAGAAAATCTTGCTTTTCAAAAACCTGGTTATGGCGATTCTGAGCTGGGAGAAATAAAATGTTTAAACACAACGTTCCTGTCATGTATCATGTACCAAATCATGTGACAGCTGTGCAGAACTGCTCTCTTGTCATGTGATTATTAAAGCTGGGTTTTTGTTTAATGGAGCGGGAGGAAACACCGCTGTGGTAATACGCGGCACAGTAGTATATGGCACTGTCTTCAGATCTTCTCAACTGGATGAGATGAAGTGTGGAGTGTGTTTTACCATGACCGCTCACATTAAAATGCTTCTCAAATGGTTTCTCAACAGTTATTTGGGCAAAGTACACATAACCAATGAGTTTCAGCTGTGTGTCTGTCTGTGAACGCTGGTACCACTGTAAAGTGTCATAGTTAGTTATTTGATGACGGCAGCTCATTTCAGCCGGTCTTTCAGGACTCCAAAAAATGTCAGAAGGAGTTTGATCAACCTTACTAGAAAACACAATACCTGTGAAGACATGAAGACAAATGCTACACTTTCAGCGTAAACAGTGTAAAATTAACAATTTAAAGATAACAGTAAAGTGCAGTCGGATTTAAATGTAAAGGACTAAACGTCTTATAGCATTACCTATTAAACAAATCACGGTGGTTGAAGAAACAACAGATCCTGTCATGTTGTATGTATGTCAAAGACCAGATGTGAGTGCACTTAAAAGGGAGGAGGAGATTCAGCATGTGACATTTTAAAGTGGATTATTCCATACTGCAATGGGTGATGGGTAATGTGCACCTCCTACAAACAACGTGTGTTGATGGATTCTGTCTATAAAGAGCAGTGAATATTAATGCATTAAATTGGTGCTCCTCATTAGTAAAGTTCGAATTTGCTCCAAATATAGTGACATAAGTGTATATTCATGTCTATAATAATGTAATAATGCATTATGTAGGATAATTAAGTGATATTTCATCACTGAATTTCAGGCTCAGAGTACAATGATGTATTAAAAACTAGAGATGCACCGATTACAATTTTCTAGGCCGATTCCGATTTTCATTGAGTTTGACCTAGAAATATTTTCTATAAAGAGTCTTCATTTTAATTTCTGATTTCTGTTCTTGTTAAAACACACTAGACATGCAAATTCTGTGCATTTTGGGCACTTTTTGTGTGAAATCATATTTATTTTGTCCATCAAAAGTGTGCTTTCACTTTAATTGAGCGTGAGCAGTGTAGCATAAATAGACTCGGCGCCGAAACCGCTTCACTGCTGCTCACGCGACGCTCCTGCTCGACGCTCACGTCGAAGGCTCCTACTCCCGGTGGGAATGCACTCGTTGATTAACATGCACGCCGAAAAAAATGCGCACAGCTCACGCTTGCGGTGTGAAATGGCCGTAACAAGGTTTCCTACATGTGTGTTCCGTGTGCACGTGTGATGCTGATGTTGCACGATGTTAATCATGCGCCGCCCGAGTGCATTTTGACCGGCATAAATCAAATCGGCATATGTCAGACTGACCGGCCGGTCGCCAGTCATGGTCGATCACATGAAAATCGGCCAATTCCGGTCACCAGCCGATCAATTGGTGCATCTCTATTAAAAATGGAAAAGATTTTACTTTTGTGTTTTTTTGCGCACAGACAACAATGTCAAAATGATCCCTTTTCACACGGATCCGTGAGAATGACTAAAAACGCTGTATTTTGTTTTATTTTATGTTATTAAACTTGTTGATTGTTCGCCAGTTCCCGCCGCCTCCTTCCCACAACAACGAACCTCGTTACAACATTTTTTTAATATTCTGCAGGGCTTTCACTAATAGAGTGAAAGATGGGATCAATTCAAGATGAAGCCCGTAACACTTCCAGTATGACTGAAGAAGAATCCAATATAATCCCACAAATTATGAACCGATGACGTAGTTGATAATCAGTTTACCTATATTAATCTTATATTCCTTTATAAATCCTGAATTCAAGACACCTATTGACTCCCATAACAAGACAATCGTCATTATCTTATCATTTAGAGTAACGTTCTAATCTACAATGAACCTCCTGCTCATACACCCCAGTAATAAGCACAATGATCTGTTGTGAGGTATGATGAGCAGAAGTGTGTGAGGCCGAGCTGGTCTGTGCAGGTGTTGTAAACCCAGAGGAAGGTAATTGTAAAGAGGGCTGAACTCCTGCAGCACTGTGTGACACTGGCAGCGCAGTAATACATGCCCGTGACTTGGGCTTGTTTGCTACATTGTATATGAAGTGAAGCAGAGTTTTCACCATCACCTGATACATTAAAGTCATTTGTAAACGGATCCTCAGTCTTTGGTGTTTTATAGTACATATAAGCCACAAGTTTCAGTTGCGTGTCTCCACCAGAGCGCTGGTACCATAATATAGTGTCGTAGCTCTTGATGGAATGACTGCATTTCAGTTCAACCAGACTGTCAGGCTGACTCAACACTGCAGCTGGAGTCTGATCCACATCCTTACACACAGCCGGGACTGGACAGAGAGAACAACTTGATCGTTACAGAAACGTTTTAAAATCAATTCATGTTTTTTTTTTCTTAAATTGTAAAATTGAAATCTGAAACTAAACACTGATATGTATATATAAATATGACACCTGTTAGCAAAAGCGCCGTCACAATTTGGATGGAGAGGCGAGACATCATGTTGAGTCCTCGACTGCACTGAGATGCATTGAGCTCATTTCGTGTAGACAGGAAATGACATCACAAACCACCACAATGACCACACAGACGGCTGCCGTCATTTAGGGGTTTTTCTTTTTGTTCACACTATATAGGTGTCGCTGTCTACAAGGAACTTGCATTGAAAATAATAGTTAGATACAATGCACTTATTGTGTTTATGTTGTATTGCCAAACGTTTGCTGCTATTGATGTGGGATAACAGTTTAATTATAGATGTAACTACCAAAATTAGTTACAATTTAAATTATATTCATTTAAATGTGTTTTCACTCCATGGTAGCTGATTGTGTTGAATGATGTTTTCTAGAACTCGCGCACGTGGTTTCACGCAGGTGTATCATGATGCATGAAGATAAGAGAGCAGTTTTTGTCATGGAAGAGAGGATTTTTGTGGCATTGTGCATACGACGCTGCACAGAAATACTCTGCACTGTCCTCGTCTGGTCTTGCTTCAAGAATCTTTAAAGTAACTTGTTCTTCTCCATTTCCAGTTAAACTGAAATAATCCTTATACGATTCCTCAAAGTCTTTTAAGTTGCTATATCGTGCATAGCCGATGAGTTTCAGGCTAGAATCTCCATAGGACCTCTTATACCACAAAATTGTGTCATAGTTATTAATGTTATGTTTGCAGGTCAGCTCTACAGACTTCTTGGGTTCACACAGCACATCTGAAGGGGACTGGTGCACCTTCTCACAGATCAGGAAACCTGAGAAGCCATCAAATATTGTTAGACAAATACTCATGCAGTTTGATGTCTTTGTAGCCTTTATATAATAATCTGCAATTGTATTTATAATTTCACTAAAATCAAGATACCTGTAAACCAGCTCAGGAAGAAGATGATTTTAAATACAAATCTAATCATGTTGGATGATGCTCATGCCATGAACACTACTGAGGTCTTCAGTAAAGCAGCAGGACTAGAGACAGGAAGTGATGTCATGTTGAAAAGGGCAGGACAAGTTTTCTCAATAGAAAATTCTTCAAATAAAAGTACTAAGGCATGAATCAAATCAACCCGTTTCAAGATTAAACATTTTTGGTCAGGATAAAAAATATATATATATATATATATATATATATATATATATATATATTAAGGGAATGAACTACTGTTCTTCTGAAACATTTGAATGACCTGATTGAATCAGAAAAGTCTTGATTCTTAATATACAAATCAATATTTTAATTGTATTGCAAAATATTCAGATATTATGTACAAATATATAAGTAGTGTAAGTGTGCAGGGAGACTGGCTTAATTGCACCATTTGCAAATTCATCAGAAAAATATGTTGTTGTTTGTTATGTTTGTTGTTGTTGTTGTGTTTGTTATGTTTGTTGTTGTTGTTTGTTGTTGTTGTGTTTATGTTTGTTGTTGTTGTTGCTGCTGAGCTATTTTGTTGCAAATTCTGCTTCTGCCAGTGACTCCTCTGATTGGTAGAGCTCATTTCAGGATGATGGATAGTGGAGTACACTGGGAACTAGGTCATTAAACAGTAAGGATGCACCGATATGAATATTTTGGCTGATATCAATAACCAATAATTCTTTTTCTTTATATTTGAAAGCCGATAACTGATATATTGGCCGATAAATCTAAATTCAAAATGTTATATAATTTGTGAGAGCTTGATTACAAAAACAAAACTCTCACCATTAATTCCATGTCCCAAGCACACAATTATAATTATTTTCTCATTATGAGTTAATGCAGCCCATGTGACAGACTTTCATTCATTCATTCATTTTCACATGTTGCACTTAACTATATTTTTCCTTTTTTAAGTAATTCCAATCATATTTTAATCGATTGAGAACCATCGTGGCGAACAGTGAGCATCTGAAGTGTCTCAGCTGAAGTAAAAAATCCATTACTTTAATATATAAGCCAAATTATCTTATCGGGCCTATGATCATAACATTAAAAATTAACATAAAGTGTCCGAGAACAATATATCGTGCATCCATATTAAACGGTTGTTTGTTTGTTTTTTGTTTTTTTACAAGTTGAAATCACTGACTTGTAGATTATACAGTAATATATATAATTTTGGAGTTCGTGGAGGTCTTTCTCATATTATCATTATTACGAATCACTTTTTTTTTCGCAGCTTCACAGTAATAAATGGGGAAAACTACAGTATTCATTTTGCAAAACTTATCAGTTATGAACCAATTTCAACTGTAAACAAGCTCTACAAAATACAATTTATCCAGTCAGTTCAAGATTTGTCTGATTTGACAGTGTCAGTGCTGTCAAAGCGATTACATTACTGAATAGTAATTGTCTTTTAAATCCCTAACTGAGCAAGACAAAGGCGACAGTGGCAATGAACCAAAACTCCCTCAGGTGACAGTATAGTGTATAGTATAGTGGAAACCAGACTCAGTCAGGGCCTTAAAATAACTTTTACTAATAAAGGCCAATTCACACAGGCCACCAGATTACAGCACGTCTCTTCTCTGAACATGCTGAACCCGAATCACAATGTCTATCAGTGAAAACAAGCTCATGGTAAGTTGTCATGAACCTCTCATGGAAACCAGCTCAAGTGCTTGAACTGTTAATGAAAGATGCACAAAAGATGATAGGCTTTTCGTAGGGCTCATGGGGGCCCTAGAGCACTGTGTGCACTTGCTGCACAGAAATAGACTGCGCTTTCATTCAGCGTGAGCTCTGAGATTGTCAGGGTCACAGAACTCTTGGCATCTCCTTTCAGATCATATTTTTTATCTGCTGCGTTCTCCAGATTGGGGGTCGAATGAAAGGAATATCCAATAATGTGCATGTTTTGCCCACGCTGGTAGTACCACAGTATGGTGTTGTAGTTGGAGATACTGTGGGAACAGGAGAGAGTGCAGGACGCTCCAGGACTCACAATGACCGCAGCAGGCTTTTGGTCAACACTGCTGAACCAATGGCCTGCTAAACAGATGAAGATACAATCACAATATTACTGCATTGTGCATTGAAGAAAAAGACTTCACCAAATAATGTTACAAGAGTACACAGAAATCTGTGTCCAAAAAGAAGCATTTAAATGTACTTACCAAAATGCCAACAGAGCAAATATGAGAATAGAACTGGATTTCTCATCATTATCAAGTTCTTACAGGGTTCTTAGAACACAGCTTACTTATACGTTATCAAAACTTATATAGAGAGAAAAAAATACTTAGGGCTATAAGTTATAGCTTTTTTTATCCGTCTTACTCGATTTGTTGCAAATTCATCTGAAGTGAATCTGAACCTCTTTCACAGGTCCGATGTCCCTCCTCTTGAGTGGATGTGTTGTGAAACAGCGCCACCTGTTGAAAAGACGGCATAACTTGTGTTCACCAAGCCAAGGTTTGTTCAGTGCTTCATAGTTTGCTTGATGCTTGCTGGATTATAGAGTTTGGGTAGTTATGACATCCTTTTGTATATTTTACAAGATTTATTCTTCACTGTGAATCACTTAAAGCAAAGCTTCAGAAACTGAATTGTTTGCTAATTAAAAACAGGCAGTCTGAAATGAATACCACAGAAGCAGGTGTGGATTAAGACAGTAGTTTTTTTAATCAAAGAGATGTTTTTGTAATGAACTGCAGGGATCTGAAACACTGTGTAATATGCAGCACAGAAATACACTGCGCTGTCATTAGACGAGAGACTTTTAATGGTCAAAGATCCATTGCTTTTTCCATTCCCAGACATTTCTATTTTGTTTGTGAAATCTGTTTCTTTGTTCAGTGTTGTTAAGTATAAATGTCCCATCAGTGTGAACCCTTGGTCCTGGGTTTGTCTGTACCAGTTGATTTGATTGTAACTGGTCACACTGTGTAAACACTGCAGTCTCGCTGTTTCTTCTGGTTTCCTGATCACGTCAGGTGGAGACTGGTCGACATTATAACTGTAAGAAAAGCCTGTAAACAAAGAAAAAAAATCAGATAAAAGTGTTTTACTACATGGATCTGGTTAACAATACAACCTTACCAGAGAGATTGATTAGTGTAACAGTAATTATGCTGAAAACTCTCATGTTGATATTCAGTTGTGGAGAGATGAATCTAAACAGTCATGAGTGATTGTTTCTCTGACACTGTAATCTCATGAAGCCTTCAGAAGATCTGGACTCCATCGCAGCTTTCATTGGGCAAGACCCAGAGGCCGACTGACTGACATGTAGAGCAACCAATCACAGTTCGTTTTGTCCAGCATCATATTTAGGTGTATAGGAAATGTAAAGTCGTTGCCCCTACAATAACAGAGAGGTGTGTAAAACTCTTGGATGTCTTTAAAAGAGTTGATTCGGATAAGTGCTCATTGTCACAGTTGTAAATACAGCTTTTTTCCCCATGAGGGGGTTTGGTGTCTCAAGTACTGTTTGGTGTGTCACTACTGTTCCCTTTCGTAGTCACTACGAGTTACGTCGTGGCCCACTCCTCTCGAAGTGTGGCTTCCTCTTGGGCTCTAGCGCATGGCGCCTCGCTAACAGACATCTGCAGGCTGGGCGACACCCAACACACTCGCCAGATTCTACAATCTCCGAGTGGAGCCAGAAACCTCTCGTGTACTCGCTTCAACTAAACGGTACTGGATCTGCTCAGGTGTCTTCGCTTGCTCTCAGGTGTCTTCGCTTGCCACTCCAGTCCTCAGACTGGATGTGTGTGATATTTCCTCAGGTGAGTTTCCCCGAAAAGCCCTGAGTTCCTCCAGCACTGTTGACATCAACACCAGAGTCTATGCCTGCGTCTGCTTTCGCATTGGCTAGGTGCCTCCATGTGCATGGTTCCCCACTGGTGACCCCCACATGTGTATTTCCACTATAAGCCTCCTGAGCATGTGTCTTTCCCTCGGCAAACCACCTGGCCACCCCTGGGGTTGAATTCTGTGTGTATTCTGTAAGTCCCCCACCTTAATGCCTTAATTCTACGTGGCATTGATTCAACAAGGTGCTGAAAGGATTCTTTAGAAATGTTGGCCCATATTGATAGGATAGCATCTTGCAGTTGATGGAGATTTGTGGGATGCACATCCAGGGCACGAAGCTCCCGTTCCACCACATCCCAAATATGCTCTATTGGGTTGAGATCTGGTGACTGTGAGGGCCATTTTAGTACAGTGAGGGCCATTTTAGTACAGTGAACTCATTGTCATGTTCAAGAAACCAATTTGAAATGATTCGAGCTTTGTGACATGGTGCATTATCCTGCTGGAAGTAGCCATCAGAGGATGGGTACATGGTGGCCATAAAGGGATGGACATGGTCAGAAACAATGCTCAGGTAGGCCGTGGCATTTAAACGATGCCCAATTGGCACTAAGGAGCCTAAAGTGTGCCAAGAAACATCCCCCACACCATTACACCACCACCACCAGCCTGCACAGCGGTAACAAGGCATGATGGATCCATGTTCTCATTCTGTTTACGCCAAATTCTGACTCTACCATCTGATTGTCTTGACAGAAATCGAGACTCATTCCAGTCTTCAACTGTCCAATTTTGGTGAGCTCTTGCAAATTGTAGCCTCTTTTTCCTATTTGTAGTGGAGATGAGTGGTACCCGGTGGGGTCTTCTGCTGTTGTAGCCCATCCGCCTCAAGGTTGTGCGTGTTGTGGCTTCACAAATGCTTTGCTGCATACCTCGGTTGTAACGAGTGGTTATTTCAGTCAAAGTTGCTCTTCTATCAGCTTGAATCAGTCGGCCCATTCTCCTCTGACCTCTAGCATCAACAAGGCATTTTCACCCACAGGACTGCCGCATACTGGATGTTTTTCCCTTTTCACACCATTCTTTGTAAACCCTAGAAATGGTTGTCAAGTCAAGTCAAGTCACCTTTATTTATATAGCGCTTTTTACAATACAGATTGTATCAAAGCGCTTCACAGTGATAACATGAAAACAATATAACAAAGTTTGTTTCTAAAAGATATTGCGTCAACGTCCACCTTAAGTAAGGCAGATCAATAATATTATTGAATATTAAATGTCCCCAACTAAGCAAGCCAAAAGCCAAGGCAACAGTGGCAAAGGAACCAAAACTCCATCAGGTGACAGAATGGAGAAAAAAACCTTGGGAGAAACCAGGCTCAGTCGGGGGGCCAGTTCTCCTCTGGCCAACGAAGGAACAGTGCATGATTCGGGCAGCATTACAAGTCAGATTGGATCGGAACATTTAGAGTATTTTTTGGAAGTCCAAGTATGCACGCCGGTCTTAAGACGAGTTGTTGAGGATCAGTGCCGTCCACCATAGAGAGTCCATGTCGCCCGTGTTGAGTCGTCACTTCATAGGCTTTGTGATTGGAGCATCTGAAGTCTCCGTGAGAGGCTGGATACAAACTGGAGCTGACGAACGCCATTTTCTCGGGACTCGCATCCCGAGATAACAGCAGAAAAGCAAAGGGAAAATAATTAGCGTAGCTGCTGTTCATAATGATGATTTCCATAACACAGGCGTAAATGACAAAACATGAAGACCGTGACTCTTGCGTCCCAAAATCACCCCCCTCCGTCCCCCACTCAACTCAGCCCAGCTTACTGACCTCTACGTCCCTCCTGCTGCTGAGACCTAACCACAATCTCTCCGCAACCCAACCATACGCGCCAACCCGTTGACTAAGGCTGTCGAGCCCCACTGGTGCGTGAATGGGCAGTTTCAGTGGACAACGGTTCCGTATGGCATACTACCTACCGCAACACAATATCTGCCCAACCACCCGTCATTCACGCAATATACACAGGAACGTAATGACTGCAAATACTCAACGCATTCTCACCCCAAGGCGTCACTAAAATGACAATTTTGACCATGCTTCAATATTCGACGCTTTAGGCACCCTTTAGCGTCAGTTACATGACGCGATCCTAGGGCGTCATCTAACTGACGCTTTACCTAAGCGTCAGTTAGATGACGCGGGTAGGTTTAGGTCTGGGGTAGGGTTAGGATTAGATAGCGTCATCTAACTGACGTTAAAGGTAAAGCGTCAGCAAGATGACGCCCTAGGATCGCGTCATGTAACTGACGCTAAAGGGTGCCTAAAGCGTCGAATATTGAAGCATGGTCAAAATGATTCCCAAGGCGTCAGTTTCATGACGCCTAGGGATGAGAATGGGCTGAAATACTATGCAACCTATACAGATAACCTACAGTCTCTTCAAGTTTTATAGTATTAAATGCATTTGATCTGATTCAGCAGTATTATAAAAGGTAAGCATTATGTAAATGCTTGGCTAAAGAGATGCGTCTTTAATCTAGTTTTAAACTGGGACAGCGAGTCAGAGCCTCGAACAATATCAGGAAGGCTATTCCAGAGTTTAGGAGCTAAATGTGAGAACGCCCTCCCTCCTTTAGTGGACTTAGATATCCTAGGAATGACTAGAAGCCTCGAATTTAGTGATCTTAAAGAACGCGATGGATTGTAGGGCGATAGAAGGTCCATTAAATACACAGGAGCTAAACCATTTAGGGCTTTATAGGTCAGTAGTAGTACTTTGTAATTGATACGGAACTTGATAGGTAACCAGTGTAGAGATGATAAAATTGGTGTTATATGATCATATTTTCTTGACCTAGTAAGAACTCTAGCGGCTGCATTTTGCACTAACTGTAGCTTGTTTATTGAGGATGCAGGACAACCGGCTAATAAAGCATTACAGTAATCTAGTCTCGAGGTCATGAATGCATGAACTAACTTTTCTGCATCGGAAACAGATAGCATGTTACGTAATTTAGCAATGTTTCTAAGATGGAAAAAGGCTGTTCTTGTAACATATGAAATATGATTTTCGAAAGACAAGTTGTGGTCTAGTATAACTCCCAGGTCTTTTACCATAGAGGATAAAGTAACAGGACATCCTTCTATATTAAAGTTGTATTGTAAGTGGTTTTGTGGATAGTTTTTTGGACCAACAAGTAACACCTCCGTTTTATCTGGATTTAGTAGCAGGAAATTATGCGTCATCCAGCATTTTATATCTTTAAGACACTCTGTCAATTTTGATGAGTTAGTTTTTTCATCTGGTCGTGATGAAATATATAATTGAGTGTCATCAGCATAACAGTGGAAATTAATTCCATGTTTTCTTATAATATTACCAAGTGGCAGCATATATATTGAGAATAGCAGAGGGCCTA